CGTCGGGCGGGCCCACGCTGGCCGTCAGCGGAGCCGCTTTGTCCGTCCATCCGTCCAGGTGACGCCAAGCTGAAAACCGTGCAGGGCGTGGTGACGAGGTACTGCAGCGACTACGGCATGATCGACGACCTCATCTACTTCTCCAACGACGTGGTGACGAGCAAAGTGCTGCTGAGCGTGGGGCAGGAGGTCATCGCGGTGGTGGAGGAAGATAAAGTGTCCAACGGGCTGAAGGCCGTCAGGGTGAGGCTCGCCCGGGCGCGGGAGCTTCCTTCCGGGTTCCCGGGGCCGCCCGCCCGGTGGCCTCGGAGACACCTGGCTAAGGGGGGAGACGGGGTACCTGCCCGGGCGCATTTGTTCTCGCGGTGGTTTCTGTTTTAAAAAATCAGTGGTGGTCATTGTAAATCGAACACCATAGACACTTACCCTTTGTAAGTTTGCCTGTAATTTTATACTGTGGAGATGAACACGGTTAACACTTCTATATTCTTCTGCTCTTCAAAAAGTATTGTTAAAAGTAGTAGTTACTGGACCCTGTGTTATCCCGTTAGCGGATCCTATTATTCAGCGACTTTTTTATTTGCAAATAGTCCTTTTGTAACTTCTTGGAAGTAGGATTGTTAGGCAAAGGGTGTGCACACTTCACACTTCAGTGGTTGGCGTCTGATTACTTCCCAGTCATATTGTACTAATTTGAACTCTTGGGAGCAGGTGGAAGGCTGTCTGTTCCCCAAGGTTGACAAGGGCGTGGATGTCTCACTCTTGTGAATCTTTGCCAGTCTAATCAGTGAACAGTTATCTCGTAATTTTATTTTTCACTTAAGTTTTAAAATAATTTAATATTTCACTTTTTTTCTATGAAATATTTTTGTGTCCTTTGTCCATATTTTTTGTGGGGCTCAACTTTTTAATGAAAATTCTATTTTTAAGGAAATTAGATCTTTTAAAGGAAAATTGGTATATGAAAGTGTTGCAAATGTTTTCCCCAAGATTATCTTTTGGCTTTGATTTACAGTTTTTTGTAGTTAAATGTGTCTGTCTTTTCATTGTAGCTTTTGAGCTCTGTAAGAAACCTCCGCCTGGCCAGGGATCACGGTTCGATTCCTGGTCAAGGCACATGCCTGGGTTTCGGGTTCAGTCCCCAGTGGGGGATGTACAGGAAGCAGTTGATCCATAATTCTCTCTCGTCATTGTTGTTTCTACCTCCTCTCCCTCCCTTCCTCTCTGAAATCAATAAAAATAATATATTTTTAAAAATTATTCATTAATCCAAGAGCATGGCCTTTTTTGCCTATTCTTTCTAAGAGTTTTATAGTTTTAGCTCTTAAATGTAAGTCTTTGATCCATTTTGAGCTAATCTCTGAGTATGGTGTTGGGTAAGGGTTTGACTTCTTTCTTTTGCATATTGGTATCCAGTTTTCCCACCATCATGTTTTAGAAGCCTTCACCGTGGGGAAACCCTTTCTACATTGAATGGTCTTGGGACCTGGTCAGGTAGCTCAGTTGGTTAGAGTGTTGTCCCACCAAGGTTGTGGGTTAAATACCCAGATAGGACACACACAAGAATCAGTCAGTGAATGCATAGGTCAGTCGAACAACAGATCCATGTTTCTCTCCCTCCCTCCCTCGCACTCCCTCCCTCCATCTATCCATTCATCCATCCCTCCCTGCCCCTCTTTCTCTGTAAAATAAATAAATTTTAAAAGAAAATCTATTGACCATATATGCCGTTTATTTCTGGAATCTGTTCCTGTGCCTGTCCTCGTGCCAGTGCCACAGTGTTTGATGACTATAACTCTGTAGCAAGTTTTGAAATCAAATGTGGAACTTGCAGCTTTGTTCTTCCTTTTCAAGATAGTTTTGCTACTCAAGGCCCCCGAGAGATGGTATGAATTTTAGGAGGGTTTTCTATTTCTACAAGGTCACTGGGATTTGGATGGGGATTGTGGTGAATTTCTAGATTGCTTAGCATAATATTGACATTTTAATATAAGTCTTCCAATTCATGAACAGTGTCTTTCCATTTGTTTGTGTCTTTAACTTCTTCCAGCCACTTTTTATAATTTTCGGTGTATAAGTCTTCCATCTCCTTGGTTAAATTTATCCCTAAGTTTCTTTTTCTTTTTGATGTGTCTGTATGTAGCAAATTGGTTTTTTAATTTTACTTTTTGGAATATTCATCGCAAGTAATTTTTGTTGATTTGTATCTTGAACTTTGCTGAATTCATTTATTAGCTATAACAGTTTTTTAATGGAATATTTAGTGAATTTTTACATATAAGATCATGCCATCTATAAGCAGAGATAAATTTACTTCTTCCTTACCAGGTTAGATTCCTTTTCTTTTCTTTTTTTTTTTTTTTTTTTGCCTGTTGCTCTGGCTAGACCAGGGGGGGGCAAACTTTTTGACTCGGGGGCCACAATGGGTTGTTAAACTGGACCGGAGGGCCGGAACAAAAGCATGGATGGAGTGTTTGTGTGAACTAATATAAATTCAAAGTAAACATCATTACATAAAAGGGTACGGTCTTTTTTTTTTTTTAGTTTTATTCATTTCAAACGGGCCGGATTCGGCCCGCGGGCCGTAGTTTGCCCACGGCTGGGCTAGACCGTCCAGTGCTGTTTTGGCAGAAGTGGCAAAAGGAGGCACCTCATCTTGTTCCTGATCTTAGAGGAAAAGCTTTCAGTGAGTGTCGCTACTGACCGTGACGTTGGCAGGACACTGCACACGTGGCCGTGATGGTGTCTGTGCCTCGTGTGCGGAGCGTTGCATCACGAGAGCAAGTTGAGTTTTGTAGGTGCCTTCTCTGCACCCCGAGATGACGGTTGTTTTCCAGGCTCCTCCAGTGTGTGTGACGTGGGTGGAGTTTCTTTGTTGACCCGCCCTTGCCTTCGGGGCTAAGCCCTCCTCGCTTGTGCATCATCCTTTTAATAGTTTGCTGCATTCAGTCTGCTAGTCTTTTATTGAGGGTGTTTGCATCGCTCTTCATAGGAGGTACTAGTCTTCAGTCTGCTTTCCTGTGGGCCTCTTATGCTTTAACAGAGGTTGGTTTGTCTCTCAGGTGGAAGCTGTTTCTGATAAATGGGAAGAGGACAGCAAAAACCAGGGCAGAGGACTGTCCGACTCCAGCCCCCGGGTGCTGATTGGCTGTGTGACGTCGCTGATGAAGGGCGCTGGCTACATCAACCAGACCACATACTTCTCTCTGAAGAGCGTTTGTGAAGGTCAGCAGGGTGGCTTTCTCCTTCACATTAAAAAGCGGGTTTTCCGTTTGTTATGTCTTAGATTCGCAATGGTTAGTGCGTCCCTGAGAGGGTCAGATGGGGGCGCGTTTTGTATGTTGAGAGAGTCTTGGCCTGGATGTGCTATCGTTTGTGCTCATTCGTGGAATGCAGCCATCGTCTCTGAGTAACTGCTCCTTTCACGTGGTCAGTGTTGCCTCGGACACACAGGCACTGCTGTTTCTCAGGCACTTCGCACGCTTTAAGGGGGTGTGGGGAACCTGCACCTCCCAGGAGCCCATGTCCGTGTGTGATCGCACTTGTTTGAGCTGATCTCAGATTTTGTTTTAGTGCCTAAAGAAATAAGTTGGTGCCCTCAGCTGAGTGTAACCCGCAGCGTCTGGGGTGCCTGCTGGGCACAGTGGTAGGAGGGCAGCAACAGGGTGCCCGAGACAGTGGCTCTTCCTCCCGTGCAGACCATCCCATTGGGAACCCAGCAGGAACTGGCAGAGCTGGGGGGGGCGGCGGGAGGGCAAAAAAAAAAGCTGAACTCCAGCCCCAGGCCCTGCAGAGTGCCTGCTGAGAGGTAGGCGTGGGACTCCCCACCTGGGCTGTGGGCATCAGCTCATCCTGCCGGGAGCCTGCTCTGTCCCCTTGACGGCCATGAAAGCTGGGAGCAGCCTTGACTGCTACCCTTGGGAGCCCCCAAGTGCAGTCGACAGGTGGCTGGTGGCTGGGACAGTGTGCTCATCACCAGCTCCCACAGGAACCACTCGGGGTCCAGTTCCGCGCTCCGTCCTTTGGGCCTATTGCTGTCGGAAGTGCTTATTGCAAAAGAACCAAAAGGCTGCATCTGGTGGTGGCTTTACACCAGGCACCACAGCCACCCTGCCCAGACTGCTCTCTCCCTGCCTTGTGTCAGGACTGCATCCCATGCCACTGAGCTTCCCAGCCTGCCAGAGGGGGCGGGCACCTTGCACCCTGCAGGCCGTGGCACCGGCCACCGCACGGCTACCTGGCACGCCACGGGGCTGGCGGGGCACTGCCTGCTCCCCACCTGAGCTGGCAGAGACCTAGCTGCCAGCCCTGAGTTCCCCTCGTCCCCAGCCCCCTGGGTCCCTAATTGGGAGGGGCACTCAGTGCATCTGGGCAGAGGTGGCAGGGACAGGGTGTCGTGAAACTGTCCACCACACATGCGCCCACACCTTCTAGAATAGCGGTTCTCAACTTGTGGGTCGCGACCCCTTTGGGGGTCGAACGACCCTTTCACAGGGGCCGCCTAAATACATCGTGCATATCAGATATTTACATTACGGTTCATAGCAGAAGCAACATGACAGTTATGAAGTAGCAACGAAAATAATGTTATGGTTGGGGGTCACCACCACATGAGGAGCTGTATGAAAGGGTCGCGGCATTAGGAAGGTTGAGAACCACTGCTCTAGAAGGTGGAGGTGATGACAGGTCTGCTACTGAGCTGATTGTGTTGCCGCTAATACCTGGGGTTTTTAATGAAAAGTGTGGGGAATCTCTGAAACCAGATGGGCTTCTGAGACTGCGCACCAGCTTCGTGGCTGCCTGACCGTGGGCCTGTCTGGCAGGGAGAGTCGGGCTGAGGGCAGGAGGCCCTGCAGCCAGGTGGGTCTGCAGGAGACTCAGGGTCACAGTGTCCCTGTGGGCAGAGCACCAGTGCCTTGTCCCTTCCGAGGGGCTGGACACTGCGGGGGGACGGCCCTGGGTGACGCTGCCCTCCTGCCTCGGAGGTTTCGAGCCGTGCAAGGGAGACTGGGTGGAGGCCACCTACTGGATCCGGCCGGGCACGTGGAGCAGCGAGGCCCTGTCGGTGAAGCCGCTGCGGTACAAGCGTGTGGACAAGGTAGGTGCTGGCCCTCGCTGGTCCCGGTTCCCCGGGGGACACTGGGTGGGTCGCTCGTCAGGTTCAGTGTCGGCCAGAGAAGACCCCCCAGTGTGCTGTCCTGGTTTAGTCCAAAGTGCCCTGCCCTGCTTGTGGGCAGTGGGGTACAGGACTTGGGCGTGTGGGGGTGGCGGCGTGCGAGGGGCCTTGGCTCCGAGGTCCCCACACTGCGTTATCTTCAGGGCATTGCTCCGAGAACAGTGTCCTCACTCCCCCCGAGGTCCCCCAGGCGAGGGGAGGCCGCGGTCACTGGGCCTTTGTTCGGGGGCCAGTGGGCCGGCCGGTTGGTGAGGCCGTCTGCACGCTGTGCCCGCAGGTCTGCATTTCCAGCCTCTGTGGCAGAAACGGGGTGATCGACGACTGTGTCTTCTTCACCCTGGACTCTCTGAAGCTCCCCGAGGGCTACGTGCCGCGAAGGCACGACGTGGTCAGCACCGTGGTGGTGGAGAGCAGCCAGTCCTGCTACATGTGGAGGGCCCTGTGCGTGACCCCCGTGAAGAGACGGTGAGGCCCGCTGGCTGGGGGTGAGGGTTCCCTGCGCTAGCCCAGCGGCCGTCTGCGTCCCCGTCCGGGTGGGTGGTGGTGGGCGGGAGGCGTCTCCCACAGGAGTTGATGGTGCTCGATCGGAGGTCGAGTGGAAGGCTCCCTCCTGCCCTGGGTCTGGCCTGGGTGGTTCTTCAGCACGTTGGCGTTTTGTGGGCACACTGGACGTGGCCGACTCCTCCGTGACCGACTCGTGTCTGTGTCCTCCTGCATCGCCAATGGCCTCCCTCCCCCAGGCAGTGGGCTCCGCTGTGAAGCACCGCCTCTCCCTGCCTTTCCTCCTCAGCACCCACTTCCCGGGATCTCACCACACAGGGCCCCCAGGAATGCTGCTGTCACCCATCTCCGCACTAAACGCACGCTCAGCCTGGGCAGGACGGCGGGCGGGACAGACTGCGCTCAGGCTGTGGGCGTGGTTGGTGCGGCCTGTCACTCCAGCCTGGCCCCTCCTGTCCAGCTCAGGGTCATGGTCTTGTCCGGATCCGCGTGTTCTCCCAGCGCCGACCTCAGCACGCGGTGATTTACTAACTGCGCTCTCAGAGGGGTGGTGGCCGTGTGCAGTGGTGGGTGCGAGCCAGGCCCCTGGCAATGGTCGGTCCCTCCTGCTCCGCCTCCTTGGGCAGCCGTCCAGGGGTTGCTGGTCCTCCCTGGCCAGTGACTGACCCCAGGCCTGCTCCACAAGGCTCCTCCCTCGTCTGCCTCAGGTAGCCGTCTTCCCGGGGATGGGGAGGCCCCGCCCTCAGTGCTGGGCTGGCTGCGAGCTGGCCCCATCCTTGGACTCGGTGTCCTCATCGCCCCTCAGAGCGGGGCTGGGGGCTGCGGGGGGGACGGAACTGGCTGGACCCCTGTCTGGGCAGCACAGGGTCAGGGCCCGCTGCCTGTGTGCCAGCACTGTCCCAGCCACAGGAGCGGGCCTGGCACCGAGAGGGCCATGCTCTGCCCGCCAGGATGTGCTGTCCCCCACCCCCTACCCCCACCCCGGCTCCCTGTCTGAGCTGTTTTCTCTGACGTGCATCCAGATGCCACAATGGTAGCCACTCAGACCACCATCCGGCCACCAATCTGAGTGCCCACTGTGTGTGCCCAGCGAGTGTCGGCCCTGCTGCAGACCCTGCGCTTCCCACTGTCTTGCACATCTGCACGGGGGCGGGGAGGGGGGAGCCCTGCGACTCACTCCTGACCTCAGCTGTCCATCACAGAGGTCAGCTGAGCAGCCCCGAGACCCAGCGGCTCCAGTGCTGCCCCCGCGGCCACGGTCCTGTCGGCACCTGTGCAGGAAGGGAAGGGGGGGGGGGGGCCTGTGTAGATGGGGAATTGGAGGGGCAGCAGCCAGCAGAGGGGGTCACTGGTGTGAGAATGTCACTGCATTTGCATGTGGGTTGGTAATGCCCAGGTGTACATTACTGAAGGCCTGCACTCTGAGTGCCCCCGCAGGTGGGGCGGGCGGGCGTGTGCCTGGTGGGCCTGCTGGAGGCAGTGCTCAGGTGAGCAGTGTCTGGAGTAAAGGGAAAGGGGTCTGGGTAGGGGAGAGAACCCTCTCATTTAATTGTTTCAAATACTGTGAAGCAGCACAACGCTTCCCAAATGAAAGCCTGCTGTCCCATGGGGGGGATAAGGACACATTTGTAATACCTTAACTAATAAAGAATTTTTTAAAAAAAGAAAGAAAGAAAGCCTGCTGTCCCTAATAATCAACAGCCGCCCCCCCCCGCCCCCCCAAGGCCCAGGACCGCCTTCACGGTGTCACCGCTGCCTCGCCTCCTCTCTGGAGCTTGTAGGACTGTCACTCACCCTCAGGGTGGCTGTGTCCTTGCGGGTCCTCGGCACCAGGGCCAGCCCGGTGTCCGTCCCTCTGGGGGCATCCCCTCACCCAGCAGCTGGCCCTGCACCTGGTGTTGGGGGCCTGGGAGGAGAGGCAGTGGGCAGGGGCGGAGCCTGGGACGGCAGCCTGCAGGTGACTGACACTCTGTGGGGTTCTCCAGAGACCACGCCCCCGCCGAGGCCTCCGAGGAGACCTGCGAGGCCCTCCTGCTGCAGAACAAGGGCGGCCTCGAAGTCACGAGGGCCACCAGCTTCGGCACGCTGCGGGAAGGGGGCAGCAGGAGCCTGGTGGTCTGCATCGAGTGAGTCCCACCCTCCCCGGCCGTGCTTCCAGCTGGGGGTTAAGATCCTACAGAACAACCTTCACTCTCCTGCCCCGTTGGTTTTTCCTTTACGAAAGTGTTCTCCACAAAACTTAGTTATGCTCGTGAAGGTATTTGCAGCCACCACGTACCAGTTCCTTTGAACTATTTCACAGTAACAGCAGCTTCGGAAGTCCTGTTTGCTGACGGCAGCTCCCTTTGTGCAGGAATAAAGGAGACGTCCCGCAGAAGCTGGTCAGCTGCAAGCTGGCCGGCTGGGACAGAACCAGACAGTTCCGGTTCCACTTGCTACGGGGGACCCAGCACGGCCCCCCAGCACCTGCTCCCGACCCTGAGACGCGGGAGAGCTGCCCAGACAAAACCTACCAGATGGCGGAGGGCAGCGTGGCCCACAACAGAGCAGTCTCTCCAGGTGGACGGGGCCCCGGCCGGTCGGGGGACCCAGGGGCCTCGATGCCGTGGCCTCTGGTTCGAGTTCTCTGATGATTCGGGGCTGAGGACAGGGACCAAGGTCGTTGGCGACCCCGGAAGTGCATTGGACATGCTGCTTCCTGCAGACACTTCCAAACGGGGGAGGCTGCCTGCTGTCGGCTTTCTGTCCCCTGTAGGGGGTGGAGTCCGCAGGCCGCCACCACGGCCACCAGCAGCTGACCGCTGGGTCTCCTGTCCCCTCTCAGATGACTGTGCCTGCGAAGGAGAAGAGGGAGGCAGCGGACAGGGCAGCCGGAGGAGGCAGGTCCCGGAGCCTGAGCCCCATGGGCTCATCCCTCCCGGAGGAAGAGCCCTGATTGTGGTCACGTGTGAGGCCAAGTACGTGCTGCTGGGTTTTCAGGGGGTTTGGCTGGGACGTTGGCACATGTATCTCTCAGGTCCCGTGTGTGGTCCTTATAAACAGGATTTGTAGCTCTTTCGATGGGACAGACTCAAAAGAAAAGGCGTTGGTGGAGACGGCGGGTTGAGTGAGTTCCGCTGTGAGGCAGTGACCCCCTTCCCTGACTTGTGAGTGAGAGGACAGCTGGGCGCCCTCAGCCTGGGCCGCCGCCGCCTCTTCTCCTTCCACGTGTCCTGAGCCCCTGCCACTGCCTGCTGGTCGCCTGTCAGCTGGACATTTTGGCCGCAGTCTGCCATCTCCATTTGCTAATTGTCAATCTTTTGTGAACGTGGATGTGAGTGAGTGCGTCCCTGCCTCGCTGTAAGCCCAGCAGTGTCCAACCATGGGGACCTCAGGGCTCCTTCAGCCCGGCCGGCGCGTGTGCCGCAGCCCCTCTCCGTGACCCCTGGGATCCCGTGAGGATGTGGGGCGGGGACCGCACTGGGGGCCAGGGCCACAGCAGGAGTTCGGGCAGGAAGCAGTGATGACCCGTGTCTGGTCGTGTCAGACGGTTCCGATGGAAATTTGGGAAAACTGTTCTGAGGTTTGACGATTACAGAGGTGACTGTTTGGGGTGCTTGACTGTCTTGGGGACGTGTTGCGTCGTTACTGTGGAAAGTCCCTTTCCCTGTGAGAGAATTGTTAAAAACAAAGGGTCCTGTTCCGGGAGCCTGGCTGCCTCTGCACGGGGGGCCCACGCTGGCCATGTCTCGTCTGGCAGGACTGCCGGCCGCTGCAAGGAGCTCCTCCTGCTCTGCTTCTCCAGCTGCCTCATCGGGCGCGTCCTGGACGTGGGCGTGGTGAGCGCGGAGGAGGCCCTGGTCGCCGTGCGCGAGCCCTTCCTGTGGAAGAAGTCCAAGAGCCCCCCAGCGCCGGCGCCCATGAAAACGACGGTTGTCGTGACCACGCAGAAAAGGTGCCGTGACAGGAGGGACAGCGGGGTGGCCTGGCGTGCACTCGCTGGTGACCGCTGGCTGAGGGGAGGCGGTGTGGGGGGCTCTTTCCACCCTTTACTTGGGGGATGGTGTGTTCATACAAAACTGTCAGGGCGGCCGGGGTGCAGCCCACAGTGCGTATGAGGACGGGGAAGTGGACCTGCTATGCCCCGGCCGCCACTTCACCACCTCAGGTCCCCGCCACCTCTGTATTCCCCACAGCCCAGCCTGTCTCCCAAGAAGGGGGCAGTGCTGGCGCCATCCTCACCCACGTCAGGTGCACCTGTGAACTGACGGCAGCCTGCACCGTGTGGCGCTGTGACATCCGCTCTTCCCTGGTCTCCTCTCCGGTTGCCCCTCTGGCCATCATGCTGCTGCATCAGGTTTGCCCGCAGCAGTGGTGGCGACTCCCAGTGACAGCCCCTGCCAGGGGAGGCAGAGCTGGAGGGTGACAGGCGAGAGCGGAGTCAGGCCTGGGCGGAGCAGCCGTCAGCAGCGCGCTCTGCGGCCGTGGCTGCGGTTCCCATAGTCACGCCCTGTCAGGCACAGCAGTCAAGGTGCGGACCCCCTGGTTCCCAGGGTCTTGTGCACCGGCCGCCCGGCTGCAGCTGGGAGGATGCCCCCAGTAAACGCTGGCGCCCGCTGACGGGGCCGCGGCTGCTGCGTCGTTCCTGTGGTGACCAAGGAACTTGTGCCAGATGTCGTGACGAAGAATCATTTCCAACTGAATTTCTCCCTTAAGGAACTCAAGACGCCAGCTTCCAAGTTTCCTTCCCCAGTACCCCATCCCCGACCGGCTGAAGAAGTGTGTGGAGCAGAAGATTGACATCCTGACTTTCCAGCCGCTGCTCGCCGAGGTAGGAGGCGCCTATGGCTGCAGGCTGCCTTGGTCGTGGGCACCGTGGCCTCGGGCCTTCTGCCGGAGAAGGGGTGTCGGCCTGAGGCGGACCCCCGGTGTGGCGGCTTCCTGAGGAGCTGGGTCATTAATGCTCTTTAGCTGTCACTGGATTTGGGGTGAATAGTCTCAGGTTAGGGCCTGAGCCCCAGCCCCTCAGCTGCCAGGCGGGAGCCCCACGGACGCCCTCCACTTCTCCGTGGCGTTTTTGCTGACGTTGTCGGAAGTCTGACTTCTGCGTCTGCTTTGAACTCCGTGAGGCGTCTTTACGCTACATAACCAGTGCTCGGTAAGGCGTTTAGAAAGGTTCCACGCTGACCTTTCCTGGTGCTGTCGGCCCCAGGTGGACCCGGCCTCTGGGTGCCCCTGGGTGCTCATTGGCTTCGTGTCTGGAAAAGTCTGAGGAGGTTGCGCCCCCCGAGCCGTTCCTGACGGCACAGCTGCTCTGCTGCCTCTGCCCTTCACACACAGGCTGGGCTTTCCTGCTGCGTCTGCGATGGCTCTGTCGCCGGCTCTACGACACTTACAGGACCACGTGCCTTGGTGCCGTTTCCCTCGTGTTCCTGGGTTCTTTGCGCTGCTTGGCTGTGAGGCTGATGGTTTCCCTCCCAGCCCGTCCCTGGCCCCTGCTCCTTTTTCTCTCACCACTTCCCCTCTGCGCTGGGTTTCGACAGGTTCAAGTCCACTCATTTTCTTCTGTCTTCTCTGTCTGTGCTTAACACGCTCAGTCTTCCTCACCTTTTTTTAACATAAACGACGCAGTACAGCCACGGCTCTCACGTCCTGTCTCCTGAGTGGGGCTGGGTGTTTCCTCCTCGGGCTCAAGTGCTGCCTTCCAGCCGGAGGTCTCATGTGGCTGCCAGACATCCTGGATTTTACCTTGTTGAGCTCAGTTCTGGGACCCAGTTGAGTTACTTGGAAAAGCAGGATACTTTCCTGCATTAAAGCTTTGCTCGGTGGAAACAGGTGCACTTGGGGACTGGTGCCCTCTGACCCTGCCCAGGGCAGTGCAGTGCATGGGCTGCATTGAGCTGGCGGCCACCGTCCTGGCCCTGTGCGAGCTCTGGGAATTGTTCCCTTCAACCGGCAGTTCTCCACAGGTGACAGTTTGCCCCCTGGAGTGTTTTTGGTGTCACAACTAGGGTGCTGTAGAGGCCAGGAGCGCTGCCAAATATCCTACGCTGCACAGGAGGGTCCCTCTCCGACCGCAGTGCACCCGATGCCCAGGCCGCCGAGGCTGGGAGCCCTGTCCTCTGAAGTTGCTCCCACACCCTGAGCAGTGCCGGGCATCTCTCTGTGCTGCCCCCTAGGCCCGTGGCCGCCAAACTGCGGCTCACGAGCCACATGCGGCTCTTTGGCCCGTTGAGTCTTAAGTGTGGCTCTTCCTAAGCCTTAGGAGTACCCTAATTAAGTTAATAAGAATGTACCTACCTATATAGTTTAAGTTTAAAAAATTTGGCTCTCAAAAGAAATTTCAATCGTTGTACTGTTGCTATTTGGCTCTGCTGACTAATGAGTTTGCCGACCACTGGCCTAGGCCTCCCCGAACCCCCAGCTCCACCTCCTCACCACCCAGGCCACACAGCTCCGGGTGCTGTCCCTGTGCCAGGCTCTGCAAACTGCCCAGGTCGCCGTGGGGCGGTGGTGGGGCTCCCTGAGACGCCCCGCCTCAGGACCGCTGTCCTGCACGGCCTGTGGTCACTGCAGCCCTCACTTCCCGTCTGGCATGTCAGCTGCTGTCTCCGGGGCATGGGGTGCTCCCTGTGCTCTGCGCTCACTGGTTGGCTCGTCGCTTTCAGCTTCTGAACATGTCAAACTACAAGGAGAAGCTGTCCACTCTGCTCTGGCTCGAGGAGATCCACGCGGAGATAGAGCTGAAAGAGTATAACATGAGCGGGGTCATCCTGAAGAGGAACGGGGACTTGCTGGTGCTGGAGGTCCCGGGGCTGGCTGAGAGCCGGCCTTCCCTGTACGCAGGTGGGTGTGGACCCGCCCGGGAGGAGCGGTTTAAACTGGCCCCACGTGGTCCCATTAGCTCATTTTCTTGGTTTGGGTTAGAATGTCACTTAAAACGTGGTCAGGGACTCGGCACCTGTCTCCTGTCCCTGACGTCACGTGGTGTGTCCTCTGATGTGCTGCCGTGGTCACGTGGTCCTGTGCTTCTCTAGGTGACAAGCTGGTTCTGAAAACGCAGGAGTACAATGGGCACGTCGTTGAGTACATCGGCTACGTGATGAAGGTGAGGCTGCCGGGCGGGAGGGTCCCCAGGACAGCAGGTGCGTCTCAGAGTCGGGGAGTGGCCTCGCCTTTCCTCCCTTTGCTCGCGTTCTTCTCCAGGTTTCTGAATGGCCTGTTGGCTTCAGGAAAGCTGCCCTGTCATTTCGGTAGGGTCTGGGGCTCCCTTGTTTTTGTCTTCCCGCTCTTTAACTTCATACCTCGCCTTTTGTGTTTCTGTAAGTGACAGTGTCTGTCTGTGGTGTCCTCCAGGCCTGAATCCGATGTGGCTGTGCTGACCTCACTCCGGGGCACATGCTCGCCATGTCTTGGCCGTCTCTGATCATGACCCGTTTTCCTCCTCAGTCTGGGGAACCTGGGCCTTCGCTGGGCGGCCTGCTTCCCCGGAGGGCCTCTGGGCTCCTGCGGTGATCCCCGCCCTGCCTCCTGACCCCGCCACACTGCGCCCAGCACCCCCAGGCTACGAGATGTACCAGTTAATGATGCAGATTTTCCCAATAGATGAAAATTTATCACATATCCTCCTACATGATAAAGAGCTAATATGCAAATGGTCATCACGCCCTCACACTGTAACGGCTCAGACACTCAACACTGGGGAGAGAGGAATGGGGACCAGCCAGGCTGCGGCCCGGGAGGGGGACAAGTTGCCTGCCCCGCAATCCCAGGCGCCTGTGGCCCAAGCGAAGCTGCCCACCCACGGTCCCTTGCGACTGCAGCCAGCCCAGGCGAAGCCAGCCCAGGTCCTGGGTGCCTGCGGCCAGCCAGAGAAAGGGAAGCACGGGTTCCGGGTGTGGGGCGAGGCAGAGGTGGTTAGGGGCGATCAGGGGAGCAGTTAGGGGCGATCAGGCCGGTAGGGGAGCAGTTAGGGGCAATCAGGCAGGCGAGCAGTTAGGAGCCAGTGGTCCCGGATTGTGAGAGGCAGTCGGACATCCCCGAGGGGTCCCGGATTGGAGAGAGTGCAGGCCGGGCTGAGGGACCCCTCCCCTGTGCACGAATTTCTTGAACCGGGCCTCTAGTGTTGATATATAGGTGATTTTATATGTATGCTATTTTGTCATATTGACAAGCTTCAAAACTTCCTATGTCAAATTTTCTGAAGATGTTAACATCATAGATATTTTTATGCCTAAAAATGTCAAATTTCATGCCAAAAAAGCATTTGCGGTAAGTTTTAATTCATTATTTTGAAGAAAAGTGCTGCTGAAAGTTATCGTATACTTTGGGAAGCTTATGGTGAACATGCTCCATCTCAAGATACTTGTGAACGCTGGTTTAAACGCTTTAAAAGTGATAATTTTGATGTGAAAGACAAAGAACGCCCAGGTCAACCGAAAAAGTTTGAAGACCAACAATTATAAGCATTATTGGATGAAGATGCGTGTCAAACTCAAAAACAACTTGCAGAAATATTAAGCATAAAAATATCTATGATATTAACACCTTCAGAAAATTTGACATATGAAGTTTTGAAGCTTGTCAATACGACAAAAGAGCATACGTATCAAATCGCATATATATCAACATGAGTGTAACCCCATCTAGTGACAAAAATCCGCATTATTAACCGGTCCACCTAGTAGAGCCCGGCCAGTGGAGTCCTCGCACCTCTCCCTGGGCCTCCTCAGAAACGCCTTTCCTCCCGCTGGTCCGGATCACTCTCTGCAGGATCTGTTTGGCTGGAGGGTCCACTGGGAGGGGTGGTCCCGGGACAGCCTGGCCCCGTGGCTGTGTTCCTGGTGTGCAGACCCCCGGAGCCAGGGAGGGGAATCGGGATGCGTGTGTGGGGTGGGCGCCGTGATGGTTGTTACACCCGGTGGCCCCTCAGATCTGTGGGGTGTGTCACCACATGCCGCAGAGACAGACGAGACCGTCACAAGGAATCGGGTACGAAGGATGGAAGTTACGCTGTTTGTTTCTCCCTTAGATTCACGAAGAAGATGTGACCCTTAAGCTGAATCCGGAATTTGAACAAGCGTATAACTTTGAGCCTATGGACGTGGAATTTACATACAACAGGTAATGCTTTTAGCGCCTCCCCAAACCGGTCTTCCTTCTTGATGGTGGCACCTCCTGCCTTGGCCCCTGAGCATCAGTGTTGCAGGAGGAGACGTGGCCGAGGCTGGTGCTGAGGGGTCGCTTCTGCTCCCCCGTGTCCCAGCTGCCTGCTCTCGGGGCCCCTGCCAGTGCGTCTCGGTGCTGTGTGTGTGCGTGTGTGCGTGTGTCTGTGTGTGTGCGCATCTCGGCGTCCTGTGTGTGCATGTGCGTGTGTGTCTCAGTGCCCTGTGTGAGTTCTCATCACCATGCACTACGTCCGGTACCTGAGCAGTTGGTGGAGCACACATTCTTAAGCTAGCCCTTTATCAGGTATGTTTTTTGCAAATATTGTCTTAGATTGTGGCTTGTGTTTTTATTGTTTTTAATGTTTTTCGAGGAGCAGAAATATTTAATTTTAAGGAAGTTGATCAGTTTTTTCTTTCATGACTTTGGTGACACACTTCAGAAATCTGCCTCACGCAAGATCACAAACACTCTCTCCTGTGTTTTCTTCTAAAATGCTGCAGCTTTCAGTTTTACACTGAGGGCCATGGTCTAGTTGGGTTCATTTTTACCAATGATGCCAGGTTGGGGACGTGCCTACCCCTCGTCCCAGCACCAGTGTTGTGAGCCCTGCCCTCTCTCCGTGCGTCTCCTGACACCGTCATGAAACGCACTGCCCTGACGTGTGGGGTCTGTCCGCCCCTACGTTGTGTCTGGAGTCGGGTAGGCAAGGCTCCCACTGGATCCCGTCTTTGCCGAGAGCTCGGGTGTCTGTGTGGATCTTGGATCCCCCTGGGCTTGAGACGGACGCTGTCGAGGTTTGTCTGGGGCAGCGTTGATTCTTCAGTGCTGTCTCTCTCCATCTACTTAGGTCTTTTTTTATTTTTTACATAACGTTTTGTACTTTTCACTGTGTATGTTTTACATATTTTTTGTCAAATATGTCCCTGACTCTCTAAGGAACTTTTAATGCAGTTGTAAACAGTAATTTCAATTTCTAGTTGCTTGGCCCAGTGTGGCTCAGTGGATAGAGCATCGGCCTGTGGACTGAAGGGTCCCAGATTTGATTCTGGTCAAGGGCACATGCCTGGGTTGAAGCTCGATCCCCAGTGGGGGGTGTGCAGGAGGCAGGCAGTCAATGATTCTCTCTCAGCATTAATGTTTCTGGCTTTCTCTTCTTCTCCCTTCCTCTCTGAAATCAATAAATAAAATAAAAACAAATGAAAAATACATTTCTAGTTGCTTGTAGCTAGGATTTATTATGCGGTTGGTTTGTGTCCTGTGAGCTTGCTAAACTCAGTGTTTCCAGCGGTTTTTATGGTTAGATGGGGTTTTCTATGCATGCAATCGTGTGTTCAAGTAGCGATAGTTTTCCTCCTTTGTTCTCTGGGTGTATTTTGGTGCTTTTGTTTGCTTTTGCCTCACGGCGGGGCTGGAGCTTGGAGACAATGGGGAAGAGGTGGTGAGTGGGTTGTATGTGCCCAGCGGGGCCCCTCTGTCTGGCTGAGGCGCTAGGTCCCTAGTTTGCAGAGCTTGAGGCCACAGTGGATGAGGGATTCTGCTGGGCTTTCATGTCTCCGTTGGGTGGACGTGTGGTTTTCCTGTTTCTGTCTGTCGAGATGGCCAGTTAGGTGATGAGCACCACCCCCTGCTGTGGCGGTGTTGCCTGTCACCTGCTGCGAGGCTGACTTGCTGAGACTTTATTCACTGTCGCTTCTTGTTCCTGAGGTGCGTCGGCCTGTGGTTTCTCGAAGTGTCTTTTTCTGATTTGGGCATCGAGGTAACGCTGGCCTCACATACGCTGGGAAGTGGCACCTCCCGTCCGTCTCCGGGGCAGGGGTGTGGGCCTGGCAGGTGGGCCAGGGAGGCTTCTGGGCCTGGCGCTCTCTCTGTGGGAAGCTCCCCGACTACAGATTCCGTCTCTTCCGTGGATAAAGCTCCCGGTCCTCAGCCTCGCGTAGAGGGAGCTCTGGCCTTACCTGCCTTCTGCGGACTCTGTGCGTTCCATCCACGTTGTCTATTTGCACAAAATCATTTTCTTTTTGTATCTGTAGGACCTGACCCGGTGCCCCCTCTCGTTTCGGATCCTGGTTGTTTGTGTCTTCTCGTCCCCGTTAGTGTGGCTGGAGGATTGTGCATGTGACCTCATCGGGGACGGATCTGGCTCTCGGTCTCCAGCTCGTTTCCGTCTCTGGTTGGCTCTGATCTCTGCCGTGTCCTGGCTTCTGCTCGCTCGGGACTCCATCTGCTGCTCTGCTTCTCGGGTGGACATGGGTCCTTGAATCGAGGCCTTTCTTCCTCTGTCTTTTAAGCCTTGCTCTTGGAGGGACGCGGCCACTCCTCTATTGCTGGACACTTGGTGCCCAGGCTTCTGCTGTCACGGTGAAGCTGTGGACACGCCCATGTCTTCGTGTGACAGTGGGCCAAGGGGAGGGCGGCCTCTCCTCTGAGCCCGGAGACGGCCCCGTTCTCCTCTCCCTGTTCCTGCGACGTGCTGCCTCCCACCCCGCTGCTCATCTGGCCTCGTGCTTCCCTCCTCTGTGCAGACACCTCTAGGTTTTACCCCTGGGCTCTCGCTGTCCTGGACCTGCCCGTAGGGAATTGGTCGGTCTCTCTGTCCAGCTCCACAATCATTGTCTTCCTGGCAGGTGTTATTTTTTACTCAGCCTGTCAGTAACTCGAAGCATTTCAACTGGGTGACTTTGTATCAAACCTTTCTTGTGTGCCCAGAATGAACAACGTGATGTTTTTTATTTTGGTGAATTCTTCCTTCAGTTTAGTGTTTTTCAGGCTGTTGGGGTAAAGGGCTGAACTGCAGGTTGATGGGTTACCTCCTTGCTGGGCACTGTCTTGGGTCTCTCCCCTTGGTCTCTGAAGAGGGCAGGTGCGGGATCACCCTGCACGCGCGTGTGGGCAGCTCTCACTGGGGGCACAAGCCAGGTCCTCTCTCAGCCCCTCCTCTGTAATCCATCTGCTTTACGGTTTTTGTCCTCCTTAGGGTCAAGTTCCTAAGTCCTAGGATGGTTCTTTTCTGGTGGTTCTCATCTTGGAGTTTATTGTATCCCAGGCAAATCGGTGAAGATTTTGTTGAAGGGACAGCGTGGGGCTGCGGGGGCCTCGTGCCGGGACCCTCAGGTGCCATTTTTCCTGCTTCACACACCCCCTCCCAGGATTTCGTGCTGTGATGGGTCCTGAAGGTTTCTTCTGCCCTTGGAGCACCCCCCTTGCACCCTGCTGTCCCCCATCAGTTGGTTCTCCAGGTGCCCAGGTGTGAACTTGGCAGAGCGTGGGTGTGGCCCAGGCTCTGCGAGGCTGTGGCTCAGCTCCTGGGCCATTGCTGGTTTGAGGCCAGATGTGCTTTGTTGAATATCCTTCATCATCTGTGCTGGAGCTCTGATCATCTTGTTTCCTTGAAGGTAGACTTTTTATTTCTCATTTTTTACTCGTTCTTTTGTGTTAAAAAATAAGACACCAGGTCCCTAGTGGAGTCGCTGTGCTGAGCCCCACGTCACCACACCAAGACCTGGCTGACTCACAGCGTCTGCGCCTCCAGGGGTGGAGTGCCTGGGTCCGTCAGGGTCAGCTCTAGCGAGGGGTCTGCCCGGTGGGCCATGCAGGTCATGTCCCCAAAGGAAGTGACCTTTCTGTACCGAGCACTGTATCGCCCAGGACAGCGTCCCTGTTCCCGCCTGCGCTGCCTGTAACGGTCTCAGCGGTGCCGATCCTCCGAGCCCCTCTCTCTGCAGGATTGGGTGCTGCCCGGTGCCAGTCAATTGTAAAACTCTTAAAATTGTAATACACCTCAGTTTCCTTTAACAGTTGTTTTCAGTGAATTTCAAGGGGGTAATTCTTTATAATCAGAACTAGAGGCCGATGCATGAAATTTGTGCACTTGGGGGGAAGGGCGTCCCTCAACCCTGCCTGCGCCCTCTTGTAGTCAGGGACCCCAGCTCCTTACCGCCTGCCTGCTCGCTGCTCCTTAGCGCTGCCACCACAGCCGCTGCACTTGCCAGCTATGAGCCCGGCTTCTGGCTGAGTGGTGCTCCCCCTGTGGGAGCGCACTGACCACCAGGGGGCAGCTCCTGCATTGAGTGTCTGCCCCCTGGTGGTCAGTGCGCATTGTAGTGACCGGTTCCACTGTTGGGTCGATTTGCATATTAGGCTTTTTTTATATAGGATTACTTTCTGATTGATACAGTAATATTAATATTTCCCTAACACTTCACACTGTGTTTTTATTTTTTCCTCCTTGTCCACTTCATGCATTAAACGTTCCTGGAAAGAAAGGAGTCTGTGCTGTCCTGTTGGTGCGACATTAGGATTTTCCTATGACACAGACCCTGGCGCCCCCCTCGGTCCTCCAGCCTCCCGGCCTCTGGTGCCGTGAGAACCTGGGAGCCGGCAGTCCCTCCACATGCTTTGTAGAGCGTGCATAGCGTTGGACTCGGTCGCGGTCAGGCCCAGCCCCGCGCTGGCCCCGTGTGCAGCCGCGACAGCGGGTTGTGCTGTCTTCTCCCCGCAGGACCACGAGCAGACGGTGTCACTTTGCACTTGAGCACGTCAGCCACTTGGGAGTGAAAGGTACTGTTGCTGTGGAGCGAGCCTGATGTCCCGGGTTCTCTCAGCCTCGAGTGCACGTGGCGTGGAGCAGTCCCCTCCCTCACGTGTTGGAAGGAAAGCTGGGCTGGCGGGTGGCTCAGCGGTTAGAGCGCCGGCCTGTGTGCTGCAGGGCCACAGGTTCCCTTCCGGTCAAGAGCACGTACCTGGGTGGCAGGTTCCCTGCACCAGTCTGGGCGTGTGCGGGAGGCGACCGATGGATGTCTCTCACATCGGTATTTCTCTCTCTCCCCCTCCCTCTTCCGTCCACTCTCTCTAAAGTCAATGGGAAAAACATCCTCAAGTGAGGAGTAACCAAAAAAAAAAAAAAGTGAAACTGATTTCCAGTGTTGTTTTTCCTATTGGGAAGTTTCCGTGTTGTCTTATTTCAATTATGTAAAAATAACCCTTAGATGATTGAAAATAAAGCCACAGCACTCTGTTCTCCCCTCTTAATAGAATTCCTTTTGTACCTACAAGTAGACAAACCACGGCTTCGGTTCCCAAGCACGTGCTGGGCTGGCGTAGCTGTGGCTGCGTCCACGGGGACTCGGGGCTGCTGCAGCCTTTCGTCTCCTTGTGCATCTTTCTAACGCTTCTCAGTCATACCTACCTTGTTGCCCTTTCTTGTTTTAAAAGTGTTGTTTCCAGAAGAAGTCATCTTACAGTCTCCCCAAGTGACAGGCAGTTGGAACTGTGCAGGAGACGGCAAGAGCGACGGGCAGCCCACCCCTGAGGTACCTGCCGCGACTCAGCCTGCGGGAGCGCTCGGCATGGCGGGCGTGGGGGTGGGTCACGGGTGGCCCGCGCTGGGGACCCGAGACGTGCGAGGTGGTTTAGTGAGCAGTGGGGGCTGCGTACGTCAGGCAGCCGTCGCGTGGCGACTCTTGCTTGGAAGTGTCTGACGGGTCGCCCCGCAGATGGCCGGCGTTCTGGTCTTTGTGAACGTCAGGAAGGCAGTTTGGTCTTGGCTTAAACAGTCCAGTCTCTGAACGGTGAGGTGTGTCCGTCGGAGCCAGGCACCGTCCGCAGCTCTGCACGTGTCTTCCGGGTGAACGCAAAGGGGTTGTTCTTGGTCGTGTCCACTGACAGAGATCCCCTGTCACGGTGGGCATGTCTCCGAGGGCCCTGCGCTGGGGTGATTTAGTTTTGTGAGCACGTTTTAAGCTTATACTAAGCACAGGTTTTTAAATTGTACCCAATGTTGAGGAATCCTCTCACCATGCTCAGCCCCTCCAGAAAGGCCGTCGTTACGGTGTTAGTGCCTCTCGGCCACAGGAGCCCCGGAAGGAGAGAGCAGAGGTTCCACCGGGTCCCTGCTGGGTTTCGTGTGGATCCGTGTTGTCCTTCGGCCACAGACCAGAGGCGTCACCCTGTCCCGCCCGGCCTGCTGGTCTCGAGGCTGCGATGCTGCGCCGTTGAGGTGGCTCGCCTTCCGCATGGGCTAAGCCTTGATACTTTTAAGTGCAGAGCGTTGTCTTTCATGGACTGGCTGGTGGCAGGTAAACTGGAGGGCATTGCACACCTGAGCAAGGTGGACTCGGGGATGGATTGACCTTCCAGACAGAATACGTGAAGCCAGAGTTTCAGACACTGCCATCGGCACCACAGGGCTGGCGTCCTGCACGGAGCAAGCGCGGCAGGCCCTGTGCCTGCAGCTCCCAGCCCTGGGAGGGGAGGTCACAGGGCAGAGAGGCTTCCGAGGGGCAGGACCCTGCGCTCCGCAGCCACAGGGGACCTCGGACGTGAGCACCATGGACAGAGCAGCACTGGCTTACCTCAGGGGCCAAGACTCAGGCGTCGTCACCTGCCCTGCGCGCTCGGGTGCCCCCGGCAGAGGAGGCTGGGGCTCCGGCTCGCCCTCGCCCTGAGCTGGGCAGGAGGCGCCCTCGCTGAGCTGAAGGGAAGGCTGTTGTTTTGGAGCCGTCTTCACAAACTTAGCAACTTAGTTTCTTGGAAAAGGTAATTCAGAAGAGAAACATAAACGGTGTCGCAGCGTTTTATCGGCTGTTGTGTGTTTTTGTCACGCTTTAAAGGGGGTGTGACCTGTGGTCCGTGCCAGGACACCACGCCGTTCAGGACACCAAGCCAGTGTTGCGTGGGGTGACGGCTACGTTTTCTCTTTAAACTGAGACCCTGCAAACACAAATATTTTTTTTGGGGGGGGGGGTCGTGATTATTTCTAGAACAGGGAAGCTGAGAAGGACCAGCCTGAGCCTGCCACCAAGACGAGCCAGGCGGGTGCCCAGGACTCACGGGCACCGGAGGCCTTGGCTACAGAGACGAGTCACCTGGGTGCGTATTGGGGGCGGTGACCGCACTGGGACTAGGCCCCTGAGCGGCTCGCCGTTGGGGTCGGGGTGGTCGAGACAGTTGTGTGACGGGAAGATGAGCCCATGCTCTGGTCACGACAGAGACTTCCGACTGTGGCCTTTCCTGCCGCTGCTGCCGTGAAGGGGGAGACGGGGAGGCCCCGTTTGCTCTCAGACGCTGACTCCCGAGCTGCGCAGGCCCTGGCACTGCGGGAGCGCCCCGCCGACTGGTTGCCCGGGGCCTCCCGGAGCCGGTGCTGGTGTCTCTGTGCCCAGCTGCTCGGGTTGTTGGGTGTTGCCTGACCCTGTGCCTCCCTTGGACCCAGGCGATGAGCTGCAGACCCCGGGGGCCCGAGAGAAGGAGTTCTTCAACCCCCTGCTCAACGAGAACCAGCAGCTGGCCGTGCGCAGGATCCTGAGTGGCGACTGCCGCCCCCTCCCGTACGTCCTCTTCGGGCCTCCTGGCACTGGGAAGACGGTGACCATCATCGAGGCGGTGTTACAGGTGACGGAGGCCGCGCCATCCCCGTGAGCTTGGCTGGGGGGCGGAAGGTGCGCGGCGGAAATTCTGTGTCTGTTAACATGTGAATCAGAGCTTGCAAGGTCCAGCTGCTTCTGTTTAGCTAAGTCTGTCTGGTGTTGTTTTCGGGCTGTGCAGGGTGTGAAAGCTTATTTCACGGGTTTAGAAGGGAGCCTCCCGTTCTCAGGAGAGTAAGCCGCTCGCCCGTCACAGGATGGTCTGCAGGTGCCTGCGGGCCCGCCTGTGTTGCAGCGAGTGTGGGCGTGTGTGCCTGTAGCGCTGCCCCCCTGGGGCTGCGGATGAACACGTAGGCAGAGCGCCCAGCTGCCCTCCTGCAGGCGGGCGGGCCCCACCACCTGCTCCCATGGCGAGGGCATCACTGCTGGGACTGGCCCCAGGCTGACTGCCGCCTCCTGTGCTGGTGAAGGTGTACCACGCCCTGCCCGACAGCCGGATTCTGGTGTGTGCGCCCTCCAACAGCGCCGCCGACCTCGTGTGCTTGCGGCTGCACGAGAGCTGCCTGCTGCGACCGGGCACCATGGTGCGTGTGAACGCCACCTGCAGGTTCGAGGAGGTGAGCCTGCCTCTGTCCTGCTCCTGCTGCCGCCCCTCCCTCACAGCTGCAGTCCCTCCTGGGTCTGGGGGCAGCTCAGCTGGTTTGCTTGTAGGTGAAGGGCTAATTAGCCAGAGACCAAAGCTAGGAAATGGGTGACGTTAGAAGTAATGTTTGGGGGAAGGATCTGCAGGGTTATATGTTACATTCATGGCTCCAGAGTCCATAAAATGGGGACTAAATTGATAAGAAAATAGAAGTATTTTTATTTAAGAAGACAATCTTACGTCGTTACTTAGTCGTAACTGAGAAGTGGAGCAGGACAGTGAGCTTGTAGGAGTCCTTCCGACTTTGTGATCATGTCAATTAAAGACACTTAGTAACTTGAAAACAAACTGCCCGCCCCCCCAGACGATCGCCGAGGCCATCAAGGCGTACTGCAAAGACGGGGAGGACATCTGGAAGGCCTCGCGCTTCCGCATCATCATCAGCACCTGCAGCAGCGCCGGCCTCTTCTACCAGATCGGAGTGCGGTGAGCGTGGCGGGCGGGGCAGCGGGAGAGGCTTCTGTCCTGACAGCAGGTCGGGGGGCTCCTCCAAGGAAGGGGGGTTTGTGCTGAGACCCCAGGGTGACAGGGCCCCAAGGTTTCCAGGAGGGCGATCCCAGAGGGTGGGGAAGGAGCGAGCGTGCGGGTGGCACCCAGACCAGAGGCAGGAAGCACCTTGTTTCGCTGGAGGGACAGGAGGGGCCGAGGGGACCGTGGCAGGACCACCACTCAGTGGGCGGGGCTGGGGCCTCGGGAGGCTGAGGAGGTGTGAGCAGAAACGGCCCCGTCTCATGGAAGAAACTGAGGAACCGTAGGCCGTTGGGGATCCAGAGTTTAAGGGCTTATGTTCCAAGGAAGGTACCTCCTGTTAAGCTTTCCAGCAGAGACGGGCGTGAGGTAGAAAACGAGTGTGCTGCCCGTCCTGGGGCGGGGCAGGGGGGGGGGCGTTCATTTGAGATGCACAGACTCAGGCCTGTGCCTGAGCGAGCTGACGGCCAGTCAGGGCAACGCGGGCCCAGCACTGCTGGCGGCTCCACGTGAGCAGGGGCCCCGCGCTGGGGTCTCCGTCCATGGCTGGGGGCTCAAGGCCTGGCTCCGCCCAAGGCTGTCCTGGCGGCAGCAGCTCCAGCCGAGAGCATGACTCGGGCAGTCTCCCCACGTGGGAATGTTGCCCAGTGCCCACCTGACCAGCTTACCCTGTCGCACTCCGCCCGAAACCTTGGGGAAACCAAGGCACAGAGCGGAGCAGGACCTGCCCAAGGTCGCCCAGCTTCTGTGTGAGGGAGCGGGGCTCCAACCCAGGCCCCTGCGGTGGACGGCAGTCCCCAGCCTGGACCACGGCCGCCCAGCAGCTCCCCACCGTGCAGCCTCTCACCTGTCCCCTCTAAGTCTTTTGAAACAGGCGTGTGGGGTAGGGTCCAGTGGGGACGGGAACTCAGTCTCCTGATGGGCTGTGGGTGCCTCCCGGGCTGGCCACCGAGCCCCAGGGACGCTGACCGAGCAACCACGTACGTCTTTGGCTCCAGAGTCGGACACTTCACGCATGTGTTTGTGGATGAAGCCGGACAGGCCAGTGAGCCGGAGTGCCTCATCCCTCTGGGGCTGGTCTCCGACATCAGCGGCCAGGTGAGGCCTTGCTGTGCCGTCCGCCTGTCGGCACCATCCTGGTCCCCGGGCACACGGGGGGAAGGGCTGCCTCCCTCCCTCTCCTCTCTCACACACGCTCACACGCATACACTCACATGCACTCGCATTCTCACACATTCTCACACTCGCACTCACACACGCACTCTTACACACACACACACACACACACACACACGCGCGGTCGCTGGCACCCGTGTTGGGTGCAGACTAGCGGCCCTAGAGCACCCCTCTGCCCCCACCTGTCCCTCTGTCCTGGGCTGAGCACTGGCCTGTGGTAGTGACTGGGGTCAGCCCAAGGCCCGTCACCCCTCCCCCACACTCACCCTGGCTGACGGAAGGGACATTCGAGTCCCACCTCCTCCCTCAGTCCCCAGGGGTCAGGCTGGGTCCAGCAGGGGCGGAACTCGCCAGTGGCTGTGTCCAGGCCTGGGGCTGCGCTCCTGCCTCCGCGCCCTCCCCCACGCACGCTGTGGCTGGCGCTCTCGTGGGCTGCAGCCGCTGTCCCTGCAGCGGGTCCGTCTGTGTGGCAGATCGTCCTTGCCGGGGACCCCATGCAGCTCGGGCCCGTGATCAAGTCCCGGCTCGCCGTGGCCTACGGGCTGAGCGTGTCCGTGCTGGAGAGGCTGATGGCCCGGCCCGTGTACCTGCGAGACGAGGACGCTTTCGGTGCCTGTGGCGCCTACAACCCCCTGCTGGTGAGTCAGGCCCCACGGGTGCTGGGCCCCTGAGGGACAGCACAGGGTGCCCATGGGGTGGCCCAGTGCAGACGGGGCCACAGGAATCTGCACTGCAGGGCCCAGTGCTGGAGCCGGCTGGG